TACAAACTGTAACACTGATATTGTATTTTTATGTGTTTTAGCGGGGAGAAATGTACCTAGCATCTGGAATGTGTTAATAATTCTAAATAGGTTCTGTTATACTATGAGCTTTCATGTGTGGTTCTAATTATACAAAGAAAGAAAATGTACGTGTGCCAAATCGTGCCTGGTAACAGGCAACTTACTGGGGCTCTTTGGTTTGTTTCTGCAAAAGATACAAAAACGTTCCTTATGCGAATATTTGTGGCAGCAATTGTTAAATTATAACTTGGTCAGTACGCTTTGGCATTGAGTATTGTACCTTTCCTGATAACTTTTAGGTTTTAGGTGATTGATCAAATACTTAACAGTACATTTTATTAAGTTATCTCAGAAGGAAATAGGAGTCTATTTTGAAGGGTAAAACAGTGAAAGTAAGTAGAACAATTTACCGGCTAGCCAGTAGATGTTTGCACGTCATTGATGCTTCTTGCAGGAATCAAGCTTGGAGGACAAAGTGCCCAGGTGTGTGCTATTGGCCCTCCCTGGGTGCATCCCGTAACACGCTCGGGGGCACAACTGGCCCTTAGGCTGTGCAAGATTGTGTTTATTTACCCAAGTCCCTTTCTTTTTCAAACATTTCCGTCTCCTTCCTTGTGCTTAATGCATCCCAGATAAGGTTACTGCTCTATTAGCTATCTGTTGCTGCATAAAAATTACTCTTCAGATTCAGCAACTTAAAGCACTAAAGCTTACTATCTTCCAGTTTCTTTGGGCCAAGAATACAGGTAGCATGCTTATTACAGAATAGTGCGCAGAAACTAAGCTACGTAGACAGAGAGCCCGAGGTGCCCAGGAACAACGTGGTATATTTAGGAAACGTGTAATGCTCAGCTATAAGAAAACAACAAAATCATTGTTGGGAGCAGCTGAAATTGAGCATAGGCCATGTCTGTGAGGGCGGGACAAGGCCTCAGTGCCTAACGCGGGCAAGCTACCTCCGTCTTGGAAAAAGCATCCTGCTTCAGAAGGTGAGCTCCCGGACTCTGGGGGCCCTTGCCTCGGCTGAGCGTGGCCTCGCGTGGTCTGCCAGGGCGACGGTGCTCCTCAGGGGGTGTGGGTGTGCTGAGCACCCTGGGGAGGTCCGGGGCGGAGCTGTGCCGCGGTTGTGCAAGTAGACTGCGCTCACCTTCGGCTTTATGCATGTTCTGAAATGGTTTTCATCCACCTTGAATAAACATGCGAGGAAACCTTTGAATTCATACATTCGATTTGCTGAAGAAAAGATGAACATAATTAAAGCTCAGAACCCAGATATAAAAGCTACAGAAGTAATGAAAAGAATCGCAGAGCAATGGAACGAGCTTCGTGACGCAGAGAAAAGCATATGAAGATGCTTACAAGGTAGAATTGAGGGCATACCAAGAAGAGATGAAGAGGACTCACGAAGCACTAACTCCAGCTCAGAGAGCATCTTTGGCAGAAGGTAAAACGCAAAAACGTTTTAAAAAGAAAGCAGTAATAAGAAAGAAGGAGTTATCAATGCTTGGAAACCCAAAAAAGCTCACACAGCTTATAACATTTTTCTATCTGAATAGATTCAGTCCTCTGAAGGGGCTGCGACACAGACTAAATGGAAGTCTGCGTGTGCGAACTAGAAGCATACCTGTAGTCCTCAGAAGCAAGTATATGAACAGCTTGCCCATGATGATAGAGTTCATTGTTGTAATGAAATAAAATCTTGGGAAGAACAGATGATTGAAGTTGGACGGAGTGACGCTGTACGACGCAAGACCTGTCTCCAAAACAGGAGGCCGAAGGAAGAAGACTGCGTGTGCTTCCAGCAGACAGGCACGGGAACCAATTGGGTCTCGGTATCAGACAGTGTTGTAAAATTAGCAAGGATAACGCTGGCAAACATTTGAATTCAAATTACTTTTTCTTTGTCTCCTGGACTGCTGCCACTTGAAGATACTTCGTGGTAGTAGTGTGAAAACCCAAACAGGTGAAAGTTCGTGCAGAATTTTATTTTGTGTTTAAGAAGTACTTGGAGATCAGAATAATTCAGCAAATGTAGCGGTGAATCATTTACCTTTGATAAGGTAAGCCAGTCTGTGAAGTTTTTTACACTGGAAGACAATTATGGAAATAGTGTTCTTGTTCGTTACACGTTGGAAGCAGGAGTTTTTTTAAAAACAGCCGCAAGCTGTGGGAGCCACAGTGTTCTGAGATCCCAGAGCCCTGTGTGTGGGTGCACGTTAGCAACCAGCACGCAGGCGGCTGAGGCAGAGTTGACACCACTTTGAGGCCAGCTTGGGCTGCGCAGCGAGTTCGAGGCCAGCTTGGAATGTGAAGGGAGACGCTATCTCAGTAGCAAACAGCCTGACTCTTAGATAAATCCTACTTCTTAGGTATAAGTCATAGTATTTAGGATTGATGGTTGTCTATGCCAGTGATTGCTTGGTAGTAGCTTTTTATAAAATGGATGGAGAGATTGAAAACCCTTTTTCTCACTTTCTTAAAGTACAATTAGGTACCAATATGTATGAATATGGCTTTATTTTGCGTAGAATAAAATTTTAATTCTTAAAAAAAAAAAAAGCATACTGCTTGGACAATTTTGGCCATTAACTGTAGCCACTAGGCAACTTTGTGTCTTGTGATACTAACTTAGCAACGATATAAAAATACGCCCCTACTGTTGTTTTTTCGGTCCTTTGCCAATTAGGTGAACAGACCTCCACCTGACCCAGCTCTTGTCTCTTGTCTATCTTTTCCTCACTCTTGCCACCATTCTCCCTGGAGTACACCAAGAGACCAATGAATCCCCACAAATTACATCAGTTGCAGGCAAATAGATGGAATTGCAGATCAGCAAATTAAGCAAAATAAGCCAGTTTTGGACAAATACAGCATGTTTTGCTTATTGTATGCGTAAGGTAAGTTGTTGTTTTTTTAAGTTACCAGTGGACTCCCTCAGTTCGTTTCCACAAGGGAATATATTCTTCAGTCCTTAATGGAAATTAATGGTTCTGCTTGTGGTGCCATACATTAGAGTGTGTCCTATCCCTTACTCAGGACCACTGTTTCATGTATCTTTGGAGAATGTCTGTACCAGAATATTCTCCTTTTTATTTCTTATATTAATTTATTGAGAAAGAAATAACAGTGAGGCAGTTTCAAAACAGGTTAGTAGGACAGTTACAATAATTAATACATTGCATATTGTTGTCTTTGTAGTAGTTATTCATAGTACAAGATGCAGACATGATATCTTGTCTAAACACTATTAGTTCAAAACTTTCTTCTCCTTGAACTAAGAGAAAGTAGCTGTATATCTATGCTAACTATTTTGTATATACAGATATATATATATTTTTTTTTCACTACAAAATGGTCCTTTGTTTATATCCCCCTTTTTTGTTTACTTTTATCAGAGATGGGTATTCCATTGCCATTCAAATATTGTAGGTGCATGAATTCAGCAAAGTAATCCAATATAGTCCAGTACTCCATAATAGTAGTGGATTATCTGCAGTCCTGGCAATGTCAGAAGTTGTTGACTTGAGCCTTTTATAGCTCAGCATATTAATATTTACTTTTTATACTTCATTTTTTTTTGGTCATACTGGGGATTAACTCAGGACCCTGCGCTTGCCAGGCAGGTGCTTATTCTACTGAGCTATCTCTCCGACTCCTAAACCTCATTTTTATACTTTTCTGCTGGATGGTTAAGACCAAGTTAAAGCAAGATCTATATAATGAAAAAAATGTAACTTTTGTATCTGACAAGTTCAGTCAAATCCTCTCAGGATTTATCCTGAAACCCTGTACCACAGTTTGTAGATTCTTTGTGAGTGTCAGCCATGTAGATAAGTCACAGCCATTGCTTGACCAATTTGCTTTCTGTGAAAGCCTGAGAGAATGTTTTCTCTCCATGTGACTCGCCTTAGGCACACTCTGCATTGTCGATCACTTTCCTCTGTGGCCCCATAATCTCCTTGATCAGAAAATTTGGAACACCACTGAGTTATACGACGTTATAGTATAGGTTCTCTTATGTCCTGAGTCCTCACTGACCTTAAAGGGCTTGGGCC